ATAGCCAACGAGACGCGTAGCGCCTCGTTGGCGCTACGCGTCTCGTTGTCAAGTATACGCCTTGTTTGGAGTATGTGGTAATAACCTGTACAAGGCCAAGTCTTCTCTTGGCGTTGATTTCATTATCTTTAATTAATTAATCATAATATTAATTAATTAATTAATAATTTGTTATCGATCAGTATCAATAATTAATTAATTAATTATTATTTTTAATTTTTAGGTATCAGCACATCTTTCCTTCTCTTCTTCAAGTCTATTCACATCACCAGTCTAATAAAGTGGTCACTACTGCTATTGAGGTTGGTGATAAATTGCTGCTATCTCTTCTTCCAACAATTAAAAAAAACCATCATCTTTAGGATCATCCGGGAAGGAGAGAAGCCTTATTTGGGAGGGTCATACAGATATGAGCAAAGTTAAAGGGTATGGCTTTAAGCCCTCTTGGTTCGACATTTGGTTTAGATTTAATCATTTAAGAACAAGATTGGGTAATAGTTTCTCATGTGTGTTGGCATACACAAGTTCTGATTGGAAAGAAGGTATATAAGATTATAAATTCGATTGGTAATGTAAAGGTGTAAGGAAACATACTGCACTTCCCTACCGCAATCTTTCATGAGCACCTTATCCATCCGCCAACTCCTTAAGAAAAGATAGTCTTCATGTTATATCATACTTGTAAATAACGTTAATTCCTCAATCTATTTAAGGGATGCCTTTGGTTTTTATCATTTTTAGTTTGCGATGAAGCAGTTCTACATTTTGCACCAAAAGCCATGTCTGCTTCAGGTGAGTCATAGCAAAAGTCTCGCTAGACATCAGCATAAGTTCTCTACTCTACATTCGTGCTTGTAAATCTACTGCGTACACAAAGCTATTCCCCATTTCAAAAACGATTGGGGGAGTGGGTCGAGTTCGCCGCGCAAGCTTGTCTGGGATCGTTACTCGGGACACAAATCTTTGTTCGCTACAGATTTGTGTCCTGAGTAACGATCCCAGACTAACTTGCTCGGCGAACTCGACCCACTCCCCCACTCGTTTTTGAAAATTTCCTTGCGAGTCAACACAACTCTCTTTTTTTAAATTAGTGTATGGTCGGATCCTGTGGAACTTGATTTCTTGAATTCTCGTTGTTGTCATAGGTGTCTTAACATAAGGTGTTTTTTCATAAGTGTGGCGCATATTTAGAGGAATTATTACTTAATCTTTTAAAGGTTGCTCTAGCAATATTGAGAGAGAGGACCTATCATTTTTCCTTATCTTCTTCATCGCAGCTCTTTGCTAGTGTAGCACCAATACTTCTTATAGAGACGAGGCCCGATGGAAATGAAGAGGAATCAGATGCCGAGGATCTATCGGGCAAAGTAAGTTTCACGGAACTATGAAGCATATTATTGAACACCAAGCTGTCTTATCTTAGAATCTCAGAACGTTGAAAGAGGTAAATGTTAATGCCCGCGAAGAAAATTTGATGGTTTTCAAGGAACAAAAAATTTTCTCGAAGTCACTTTTAATTGTGACTTTCATGAGCCTTGATCTTTATATGTAACATTTTCGTGTCCTCCAAACCAGATCCCACCCAAATGTCTGTTTAATCTGCTGACGTCATTAGACAAACCGTCACCTGACAGTCTTGAGGTGTTAGACCTGGTGCGAGCCGAGAAGCCACTGAAACCAATGGTGAGAGACCTCAAACTAAATTGTTACGAGTCTCCCTTTCAGTTAATTTTTTTTCAGTCCTTGGAAGGTTCAGCCGTTATATGGAGTGTTGATTGTTCGAAGATCATGGCAATGGAATAGCCTGTTCTTCCACGATATTTTGTTCCCTGATATTTCTCCTTTGACCTGCCACCCTACATTTAGGCAAAGCCCAGTTTTCTCTTTTCGCATCCAAACACATCAAATTTCGCTCTTTTTGCCAGAACCCTTGTCACCCAGCCGATGATCAGAAGTTATCTTTAGCTTTCCTACTATTTTCTTTTTTTTTTTTCATTTTTTGTGGTAGGATTCATGTTAGGAATCGCGTGTCAATTTCAGTTTCGTTTCATTAACTCAGTTTTCATGTTTCCCATCCACGCACATCAGACTTGGGACAATTTTAGCTCTCCTTACCAGATTGCTTGCTATCCAGACGATGATCCATAGTCATCTTTAGCTTTTTTGTCGCAGGATTCATGTTACGAATCGTCAAATGACCCTCCTGGTGTGAGTCAAATTGACACTGCAGTCCGCCTGTGCGTAACCGTGGTGAATTTCGCGCCGGAATCAGAGAGAGCCGTTCAAATGGTGGTATGTTTTTTTTTTCTTAATCATTTGTTTATGGCGGATACAGCAATTTTGAATTGCGACTCGAAAGTAATTCGAAATTGCTTTGATGTTGCTTTACCTCGCCGAATGATTTGTCTAGAAAACCTGGTCGTATGCTTTTTTTTCCCGCCTCAAGCTATTTGCCTGTTTTTTTTTTTGTTTTGTTTTGTTTTTTTTTTGCGTTCCCGTTTGCTTCCTGCGATTACTCGTTTCTTCTACAGTGAAACCTCGATTAAACGAAGTGCCAAGGGACTGGGGAAATTGGTTCGTGATATCGAGGGTTCGTTATATCGAGATTCTGTGGCGTACATTTTAGTGTAACTTTAGCCGGCTGAAACTTGAGTATCGTTCGTCACACCGAGGACTTGGTTATATAAAGGTTCGTTAATTCGAGGTTCCACAGACTGTAACTGGTTGTTGTGATAACCTTGGTTCTGGCTTTACAACACGCATTTAAATTGCACCCTACAGTACCAGTCTAATAGGTTGATTTCTAAAAGCTTGTAACGTGCAAAAGGCGCTGAGCTTGCGTCTGCCTCTCGTTGCCAAGGTAACCCTACAGTTAAATGGACGAGCATCTCTTACAAGCCGAAGGTACGTCTACTCGACTCGTGTTGCAGATATCTATGGAAGCTCTGGTAGCATGGGACTTTTGGCTGGTGAGCTGAGCTTACCTCTAGCTAAAAAAAAAAAACAAACAAACAAACTACTCTTATAAGATTGTCCCAAAATCAGAACCTCTCCTCAACCATTTAGTGAAAAAAAGCAAATTTTTTATTGCAGGTGGTACTGTCTGCCATTTTACCTCACTACTTGAATTACCTCAGAACAGATAGCAGTGCGCCTGATAGTGAAGAGAAACTGAAAGCGGAGCTGACAGGACTCACATCTCTTGTCACTTCCATGAACGTTCTGATTAAGAGTTCAGAAGTGCTGACAAGGTATTGCAGTTAGTGGAGTAAGATTTACTAGCATGTTGTTCGCCTTGAAAGACGATTTGGCCAAATTATCAGCGTTGGACTCAGGATTAAATTGTCTGGGTATTGGGTATGAGCAACTGGCCTGCTTATGGTATTGTGTCCTTGGCTATGATATTTTTCTGTAACCCAACCCATCTTTAGCAGGGATTTTTATGATCAGATATCAGCGAATCGTTTGGGAAACCCGATGAAATGCTTGTAGCCATACCCCTAGTTTCTTCATCACCGTGGTATTTCGTTAACCCCTATTTAGTATGTTCATTTTTCTCCTTTTCCCAGGTTGTTTGTGCACTTTCAGAGCTACAAGGCATTCTCTGATAAGTCAGGTATATTCCCTGATCTTGCTTCAACCACGTCACTGATGTTTGGTCATGGAAGCATCAGCAGTACAGAAGCACCCAGCGCAGCTGACGAGGGGGAGTTGGGTAAGCTTAAAGTTGTCTCTTTATCGCGAAGGGTATGGGCATAGCAACTTTTGTTTCAATAGCAAGTACCAACTGAAGTCATCAACGACCCTTATACAATCGCTTTAGGTTAATTTAAGAGATATAATTTTGATATTTCAAGTGTCATCTTACCTGAATATAATACGGTTGTCTTAAAGCTCGAAGTTTCCGAAACTCGGAGAACTAAAATACATTTTCTTGATGGACTATAGCTACGCAGATGACAATTATCCTTCATTAAACCCTTTTGACGCCTATTGTCCAGATGAAGCCAAATTCGTCTTGAATGCAAAAAAGTATTGCTCCCTTAATTATCATGTTTAGTTTGAAGGCTCGAAGGGTTATGAAATGGTTTACGACAATGCAACTTGTATACGCGGACACTGGAAGAGTTTTTGCTGAGGGCCGCTTTAGAATAGGTTTTGTAAATTGCGCACAAGATTGTCAATATTCGTTTCTAGCGGTCTCACTCAAATATAGCAGAATTCATTTACTTTAATTGACGCTTCGAAAATTTGTAGCTGTACTGTTTTCTCACGTTCATTGCTGAGGGTCTGGAGCCTTAAATAGGCACGCCAGCTTTCTCTCCATAGAGACATTTTCTCTTTGTGATACAGAGAAACGGATGCATTCCATAATTTGAATGACTTCGTTTCTAAGTGTGCAGGTTATGCTTTCTTGCGTTAAAAATGTATTTTTAGTATCATTTATTTACGTAAGTTGGTGGCAGTTAGCAATTTTTTGCCAACAGAAAACACACACACACTTTACACACACTTTATTTTTCTTTTTCTTACAAAATAATTTAGATTATGTTGACCCGCAGATAGCAAATTTGCTATTCGAGGCGGGTCAATCATCAACAAACATTATTTACAATATATAAAGAAAATTAAAAACTAAATAATTAGATATTGTTAAATTATAAAAAGAAGCATAGCTGGCAAATACATCAATAGTTGTTCAATAAAGTATAGAAGCAAATACATTAGTACTGAAAGCAATCGGATCAATTTGTTTTAATTATGCAGTCCTTAAGTTTAGAGGAGATCTTTTCAACATCAAGATAAGAATCTTCATTATCTAGTATCTGAAATAAAGACGTTTTAATTTGTTTATTAAAGGAATGTTTTGATAACGTTTTGAATTCTTTCGGTATCTTATTCCAAATTTTGACACCAACACGCGAGAAAGCCTTTTTTTGTAGGTTAAGTCTAGAGTACTTTGTACTAAAGAGCTGCGATTTGGATGATCGAGTATTGTAGGTATGAATATGAGATGTTTTAGTAAATAGTTTCAAAATATTAATGGGAGCCCTCTGGTTGTGCACGTCAAACATAAGTTTACTTACGGCTTCATAATATAGGAACGTAACAGGCAGAATTTTTGCTTTGGCAAATAAAGGGATGGCATGCTCTCTTCGATCGGTGAAATAGATTAAGCGCAAAACTCGCTTTTGAAGAACTAAAATCTTGTTTAAATAAGCATTTGACGCATTGCCCCAGGCAAGGAGTCCATAAGTTATATAAGGTAGAATTAATGAATTGTAAATATTTACAAGGATAGTAGAGGGAACGAAGTACCTCAGCTTTGCAATCATCCCTATTGTTTTACTTATTTTTACGATAACAGAGTCAACATGGTTTTTCCATGACAAATTTTGATCAATTAAAACGCCTAGATATTTGATATAACTTTTTTGCTCTAAACTAACTCTTCGGTTTGTCTCACAATCTAAAATACCTATTTGTGGAGAAAAATGCATTTTTTTCTGATGAGGACGAAAAATTAAGAAATTTGATTTTTTTGTATTCAATGTCAACCTATTTGTAGTTAACCAGTCATGTACGTTATTCAACTCTACATTAACCGTTTGCTCGATCGCCTTAAGATTCTTATCAGCATAAAGTATATTAGTATCATCCGCAAAGAGATAAAATTTTAGTTTATCAGAACAAAGGTGAATGTCATTTATGTAAAGTAAAAATAGAAGAGGTCCAAGGACTGATCCCTGGGGGACACCACAGGGGGAGATAAGTTTTGTTGATAAATGCTCTCCATTTTAAGAAGCTTCTATTAAGAGCCCTTGTAGTCTGTTTAGACTCCTGTCTAAACAACTTTCTAGTCTTTGAGGATAATGCGATCTATGTGGTACAACTTGAAAAATGTTTTTGAGGACATTCGGCATGTCTCGACGCTTCTCGGCGTCACGGATATTTTCAGGACTTCTACCGCTGTATAATTTGAGCTGAAAATTTTGTCTAAGTTTTACACTGTTACTTCCCGCTTTGTTACCTAAAGAAGTGGAGAATTCGATTTGTATTTGTATCGTTATTCACTCGTTGCGACGAACTACATGTTTTGCTTTCGTGTTTATGTGATGTTTTGTTGACAGTTTTCAAGCCCTCTGGCGTAAGGTGGTTGATTTAATATTCTGAAAACATCTTGGCTTCTTAAGCCTTGCTCAGTTGACCCTATTTCCGCAGTTGGACACGCACGCCCTAACAAACGCGTCACGCCAATCGAATTAAAGCGTAAAAAACGTTCCGTATTTGTAGCCTTAAAGTGGAAATATTTTCTCTTTTGTTTACTTTCTTACCATGTTTAGAATCCCTCGACTTCAGAAGGTTCCTCAGCGAAAATTACTTCCCCAGACTTTGCGAAACCCCAGCTTTGTTTACATTCGAACTGAAGCGACTAAGAAACGAGCCTTGTCACTGAACCTATTTGATCCCTTAATCACTTGTCTGTGAGAAGAATTCACTTCATTTTTGTGGACATAACGAGATTTTTATTAAGTAGAAAAACTGATTACAGTTAGGTGAGTCTTCCGGCTTCAACAACACGCAAGCTTCGGTTAATTTGATATCTATAACTCTTTACATCCACTTCATCAGTTTGTTATGCAATGCCATCGCGCGCCTTGCTTTTAACCAGGCATGCATTAAAATTTAAAAATTTCATTAAACGACGATGGTGGAAAAGCGATCACATTTCTTGACGAGGAAAAGGAAAGAGAAAGGAGACTTAGTAGAACAAAATAAGTATCAGAAACACACAACGAAAGTGCTAGATAACGAGCTCGGCCATGCGAATCGCATCTTTGGTTTTGAGGCCATTTGCTATTGTTAAAGATTTTATTCAGAAATGCCATGTTCTGTTTCTGTTTGATTCACTATGAGAGAGTGAGGTCCATGTAGACTATTTTTCATTTCATTTTATTTGTTACAGTGGTACTAAACATGGCTACCCCCGTAGGTTTTGTCATAGATTGATTAATCGGAATGTTTATTGTATTACAGATGCTACCAGATTCAAGTATTAAAATTTGGAATCCTTGCATACGCAAGGAACAGTACGTTTTAACGCCACAATTTTGCGAACTAAAAGATGATTCTTAGAAGTTGACATCTCGGATTAAATCTTTTTCTTTTCGAGGTTTTTTGCCCTCTTTCATTCCGAGCTTATTACCTATACAGGAATGTTGAAGTTTGAAACAACTCCAGAATTAAATATGTGATCACAAAAGAGGGTTCTTTAGAAGTAAGAGTGTAAAGCAAGTTTGCGGAGCTGCAACTTTGATGTTTTGATTAAGCATTATCCAAGAACTTTTTTATTATGATAAAACTCACTGTGCCACCGGACCCTTTCATTTTTTTCTAGTCTAGAATCGCCGTTTGATGCAAACCGTGTATGGTTTGGGCTTCAGTCCCATGCCAATGGTCCCCTCAAGGGAGGGGAAGGGATAGTTGGGTGGGTTTTCAATCTTGAACTGGTGTAATAGCTGAGAGACAAAGAGGAACAACTCTGCTTTTGCCATCAACTCACCCAGGCACACTCGCCTGCCAGCCGAGAACGGCAGATAGCTTAGAGATGCAGGATTCACTACATTACCATTCTTGTCCAGGAACCTGTCGGGGTCAAACCTGGTGGGGCTCTCCCAGTACTTAGGATCATGGTGTATGGCCCATAAATTGACTATCAATGTGGTGTCCTTAGGAATATTGTATCCGTTTAAGGTGGTATCCACCAGTGCCTTATGGGGGACCCCTAGAGGGGCCGGTGGCCTAAGACGTAGTACCTCGGCCAAGGTCGCTTCCACGTAAGGGAGGTTCTTCTTGTCCGTGAGACTTGGGAGACGCTCACGGCCAATCACTTCGTCAAGCTCGCGATGCATCTTCTCCTGGACCCCGGGGTGGTTGTTCAGGAGAAGCAGCACCCAGAGAATTGTGGAGGTTATTGACTCTGATCCGGCAGCAAACATGTCGGCCATGCTCATGAGCACGTGGTCTTCTGAAATTAGGGAGTTGATCTTATTGTCGTCTTGTTCCTTTTCTTTCATGACTTTGATAAGTGCGTCTGTAAAACCTCTGATTTTGCCTGGCTCGTATGTCTCCAGTTGTTCCTTATACTTCTTAAGAAGGATCCTATCTCTTTCTTGAACTGACTCCTTCAGTCGCCGGATGTTGTATGAGTCGAATGGCAAGTGTTTTAATGCAGGGAATATGTCCACTAAATTTCCAAGACCTAGTGTCTCCGCAAAGGTGTCGTTCAGTTCGACAACGGTGCTAAACTCTGGATCGCAGTCGCTGTATCTTGAACCGAAGGTCAACGCGCAAGTTATGTTGAGAACTCCTAAACTAATACTCTGGCTTGGATTGTGCAGTTTCCCATCATTGAGATCAAACTGCCGAAACACTTCTTCGATCTCTCTGCAAATAATCTTCTCTAGTTTCTCCAATCCAGCACTGCACAGCTTGAGAGCTCCATGTGCAATCTTCTTTTGCAGTTTCCAGGCGGGAGAGAAATTTCCGAAGCTGATTGCGTTCCCGTTATGGGAGTAGATATCACCTGAATGCAAACTAGGTCTCCCTGCAAAGTCATTGACGTTTCTTAATAGGGCAGTTTTTGCAGTGGTGATATCACTGACAACAACCGCTCGTTGACTTCCTAAGAAGATCTGAAAGACGTTACCGTATTTTTGGCTGAGTTTGGTCAGATTGTGGAGTGGAACAGTTCCTAAGTTATAGAGGTTTCCAATGATCGGTAGAGCAGCAGGACCAGGAGGATAGTTCATTGTCTTGTTTACCCAGCTCTGAATTGTGCAGTAGAGGACTATAACGGTGATCACGAAAACTAATCCCTCGGTAAACATATTACTGCAAAACGGAACGCGATCAAACCACAATTGAGCAAAAACTGATGATGTTTTTGAGGGCGTCATTTCAAGGACGATCACTTGAGTTATCGTAATATTGATGCTTGTACCCTTACGTATGTAAATTTTATTTGTCAGTTTAGGGTCGCTGTTCTTTTAACCCGGTTTTTTCTTTTTTTGTCGCTTTTGAGCTATTTTAAGACGATTTGGTCAAGATCAAGGAGTTCGATTTAATTTGTATCCGGTTTTTGCTGACAATTATGTCATTTCAAGATTTATAGTGTCAAGTGTGTGTCCGCTCAATATCAGAATTGCAACTCGATCAATTGTCTCACGGTGGTAATTTGCATAGTAATTACCTCTTGTAAGCGGCGAACCTGCTTAATGACATGCAAACGAGGCAGTCGGGAGATGTTCCTCTTACGGTAACAAGTGGTTAATGGTGAGAAGGACTGTCTTTCCTTTTCGCTATGACTTGGCCAAAGTACTTTGTTACAACCGGTGCGACTCTATATTCAACGCTTTTCATCGGTACTCTTGTGATTTCGATTCAGTGTAAATTTTGTTAATGAGCTTTTCGAAACTTGGAGATCAATCTTCATTTGATCAATATCAGGTCCTGTTAAGCTCAGCTTTTTTTTTTTTTTTTTATTCAAGGTTTCTTAAAGGTATTAAATCTGTCCGGCCGACAATGGTAGTTCATAATTTTTCCGGAGTGAGAAATTTTGAAATTCCTGATCACCTTAAGAGAGGGTTTCCGTGATATTTGTCATCCTTTGCATATTTTGGCAGTCTCAGCCGATTTGTTTTCTTGATTTACCAAAACTGATACTATGTAGTGGAGGATCTTTCTCTTCGTTGAAATACTTCTCAGTGGATTTTTAACAGACCTGTAGGCCCTTTGCATTACTGATCACACCATCCTGGAGAGCCTAGTGCGCAACTTATGCAACAGATGTTTATGTTTCATTTGTATATATAAGCTTAAATTGAGACAGAAGCTTTTCCTGTTTCCAATATCCTCTTAAACACAAGCTGTTTGTCTGGTGACATTCATCTATCTGTGAATGTATTGGAGAAACAAAGCAAGGGCTGTCATTGTGATATTGCGGCCCTTGGCCAATACGTTACAAAATCGGGGCTTAATTTGCGAAATTGAATTGTAACCTCGCAAACATTTAAGGGAAAAGTTGCTATTGTTTTCAGTTCTTTGGCCTTTTTGGGTCATTGATGTCATTAAGTAAAGTCGCAAATCGGAAATTTGAAGTGAACAATACAAAAGGCAATTATGATGAGAACTTTTAGGAGAGGTGCTCTTCACTGGAAGGAACTTCCCCTGACACCTTTGACCAAAAAAAAAAAAAATACATGAGACTTTAAAAATCACTTTTCTTGCAATTTAAGTGATGGGAAAAACATCTGCTAAATTACATTACGAATTTGAATAGCTCATAGATATCTGTAATGAGGTTTGTTTCAGTTTAAGGGTATCGAAAATTGTCGTAGTACTCTCCTACTTTGTCAGATACCTTTCTATCTTGGAGGGGATATGTTTCTTTTTAATTTTATCCAGTCAAAGATGACAAGCCCATGTGCAAACTTTATTGTTTTCCTTACATTAAAAAACATTTGGATCGAAAGATTAAATTAGAATCTGTGTGCTGCTGATTGATTCAGCGAGTATCTGATGATCGATCGTTAAGTTCTTTTACTTTTTACTGTCATTTTTCTTTCCCTTGTGATATTTTTTTGTGAGCAGCAGCAATCTTAAAGCCGATTCTTTTGACTTATTCAAGTGAACGCTTTTTCGTATAAGATGCATTGATTTCATCTATTTGCTTGATATATTTTGTATTTCGTTGAGGTAAACAGACACAAGTAGGTGATTTACTAAGGAGGAAATTCTTGTAACGTAATAATGAATTTTTTACCTACTTACCTTGACATTATTATTTCTATGACACCAAAACGTCGGTTATTCCTTTATTTATTGCTTGTCTATACATTTCAAAGCTTTTTTCATTCTCACTGATATGCATTTTATAAATATTTTAGAAACACTCTTTAACTTACTTACGTTCAATGCTTTGCGATGATTTAAAACTACATAATTTTATTCAGATCACAATCAAACCTGCAGACCCTCGCTATTGACAGCCGACATAGGGTGTCCGTTAGGTCAATTTGTGTTGTAAACTGCGCTAGAATAACAAGCTTAACTAGTAATTCGGTCAGTTATAGTGTCAACTACTCTTGGCTTTCGCTACATTGTTGTCAAGAGTATTTGGCCTTCTTCGAACCTCCAACATTCGGATTCTGCGTGAGCAAGGCCTATTACGAAGTTCATTGGCCACGCTTCCTGCATACCGCTTTGATTGGCAATGTCGATAGTGTTAGTTTTTTAAACAGAATAATAAATATGGTAAGCTTTGAGCTTGGTAAAGCAATAGAGAAAAATGTCTTTCGTCTCTTTCAAACCACAAGTTCCCGAGATAACAAAACATTCGTTTACGTGCACCATATGGCCCTGTCAATGTTTACTCTAAATTCTTGCTGATGTGATATCAGGGACAGAGAAACTTTAGTTGATTAATAAGATTAGTTCTGATCAATGTTGTCGCAATCCTATTATTCCGAGTTTGCCACAAAAGCACGCATCGTTTACCTGTTATTTTACAGTAAGTGAAATCACCTTGTGAACGTAATTCGTTCACTCATTCAGTGTCTATGCTACTCTTAGGCCCGTCTGCTGATTCACTTGTCTTTTGAGAAGAGGGAAAGCGCATGGCTTTCGTACACAGATTCTTTTTTTAATCTCTTTATCGTTATCGTCTACCATTTATCATATTAAATCTCTCTCCTGAGAGAAACGGCCAAACTATTATGATTGCTGCACGTTATAAATTCGCACGTGTCATTAAGCGCAACAACGTCTCGTTAAAATACTACTATTTCAAAAATGCAACGGTGAAAACAATAACTGATCATTTATCAAATTATCCAAATGGCCAGCACAAGATCGAGACTATTTTTCAAAACACACTTGACCCAGCCTTATTAACACTTTTTTTTTTTTCAGGGAGGCGTCCATTTCTGGAAAGACTACGGGCTCAGGAGGAGAAAGATGAGGTAATGCAGGCATTAGAGGAGTACCGGAAGCCAAGAGATGCACTGTTAATACTGGTGTCAGACTTTATCCGAATTTGTGCGCCACGGCTTGAGGAGCTGGAGGCAGCTTCACTGCCACCAAGATACACTGTCCCTGACCTACTGGACAGCATCAGTGTTAATGTAAGTTTGAAACTGATCTGTCGCTGGACGAATCTGGTACATTTTTGCGTGTATAAGTGACTTATTTTTTTTAACATTTATTAATTATTAATTTAATTTAATTTATTAATTATTAATTATTTATTAATTTGTTAATGTAAGTTTGAAACTGATCTGTCGCTGGACGATTCTGGTACATTTTTGCATGTATAAGTTACTTATTTTTTTTAACATTTAGAGGCAGTTGATTTAAGTGATTGCGAAAGCAATTTTAATCGCGATTTTATCAAAGATGACAAGACATTTTTTATCTGTTCCACGACGACGTCAGTTACAAGGTCATTTGTCAAAAGCAAACTGTTTCAACTTACAACAACCTAGAGAAGCGCGCTCGATATGATTTCATAGACCGATATCAAAGAAAAGTATATAGATAGAAAGATATCTGATTCACTGATAAACTTAGATTGAATCAGACTGACAAAATGTTTTCTGTAATGCCTCTGTCTTTTTGGAGATTATTGTAAATGATAACGTGTTTACTAAAATCAAATTTCTCTTAGCAAACTTTAATTTGATAATTACCTTTTGGGTTTTCTCTCGTTTCAGACCCTCGCACAGATTGTCTACTCGTTGCTGAAGTTGGCAGTTTACGACCACGTGACCTTGTCGTGTCTTGGAGTGAAACGGTAAGGTCCTTCCATTGCGAACGTGTATTGTTGTTCGGCAGGTCTGTCCTAAATCTTCGCAATTTGCACTTTTTCAATTGAGATCTGCTGTCTAGGGATGAATTTTAAATCCCACGGAAATTTCGTTGTTTGCTGTTATTTTATTCTTAATTTACTTGGGACATTTCAGGTACATGATGGATGCCTTACCGCTTTTGAAAGGTTCTCCAGAAGCCCTGGAAGCTTCCATGTTGCTCATCCTCAAAAGAGTAGACAAAATGTTCGAGAAGCTAGTCAACAAACCTGACCTCATGGTGAGAACCGCTCACTCTGAATGATATTTTCATGAAGAGATGCTTCTATTTCACATAATGGTTTTCTTAATTTTGCAGAGGTGCATCGACTGGAAATCTCTGGAGGTTTATCTTAAAGGTAAAGTTACTTATAATTACTCTGCTTCAACTTTAGGAGCAGTTGCCGTCGATTCTTTGATTGCTCACCAGCTCATTTGAATGCTATATCTGTCCAGATTTCAAACCAAGATTTCCTAATTAGGGAGGCTGTAACAGTTGGGAACCATGCCGTTAACAATTTGTTTAAATTCCCTCTCCATTACCTTTTACAGGACTTTATTTGACGCTTTGTAAAAGGCCATCGATAGCAAACTCCCCGTATTTGAAGGTAAAATGTGTGACGTACACTTTGTTAGACAATTTCATGATTTTTAACGTACCGGCATTCACTTTTCTCGCCGCGTCTTTTTCTCTTTACTCTATGCCAGAAGTTTTTTTTTTTTTTATTATTTTATTTTTAAAGCACAAGCCTAATTTATATCCCAGTGCATTGCCTTTACCCGCCACAAGTTCACCACTTTGTTATTAAGGCACAGTCTTATAGATGCAAACGATTCTGCCCTTCGCCTCAGTGTTTCACAACGAGTTTGTGCCTCTCGCTTTCGAAAAACAAACTTGTGTATCCCTCCTTTAGACTCTGGTAAACATCTGCACCAGTCTCATTCTCCAAGAACGCGCCACAGCCGCCGTATCCGTCGCCGCCAATCTACCATTCGCGCCAATTTTGTCTCCGCCCACTTTTTTCGCGGACACTGTCATCAAACTAGCGTCGCGTCTGATGCACGTAATGCAAGAGCATTGTTCGTTGAGAGAGATGTGTGGAAACTCGATTAATTTGGGCGGAGCTAGCAGAACAGAAAAGGTCTTTGTGCGCCTGATATTACCGATATGTATCAGACTCGGGTCCGGACGTTCAGGTAAGACAGTAAAAGAGAGGATTTTTATTTGGTGCCGCCGAATTGCTTCCATTAGAAACAAACAATTTATGAGATATTGGTAATATGCCATGTGAATAAAGCGTCTCCGTAGGAATTTTAAACAGCCTACAAATAGAGAATTGAGGCTTTGGGGTCGAGTATAATATAATATTGAATACAATGAAATCTGAAGTAATACTGTTGTAGAAGCCATTTAGTCCGATAAAAGTCGAGTTCTTGAACTTATACTTAAATTTCGATATATTCATTCATTCAAAGAGGATGTTTTGGAAGGTTAGATTTGGGCTACATTTGACGAGTTACTTGACTTGTACTTATTTCCCAGATGCTCCAAAGGCGTCACTAGAAGACGTCTCCTATGCACTGAGTTGTTTCCTGTTAACGGTGGCTACGAAGAACCCATCCACCCCCGGGATGGGTCCTGTGCGGCTATCATTTGTCGATGAAGACCTGGAACTTCCACGGTCTCTGACCTTTGCAACCCCTCACGAATCCAAGACATCATCCGACGAGATTTCAGAAAGTTTGTACTGTGCTGCTTATCTCGGTAAGAAACTGTCTCTCTGAGCATGATTTCTAGAATATAAATTGTTGCTTAGAATTCTTTTAAAAATACGGTAATGTGCAAACTAGTTTTCATGGTTTTAGTACACTATGTAGAGATCGAATCTTAAAGCATGTAGAGAACTTAGAGCAGAACGTCACGTAAGATTACTTATCCCCGCCTGTTCGAAGGGTGGATAACAGGTGGGCCACTGGATAAATCTCCTCGT